TAGAATAAGCGTCATAGAAAAGCTTGTACTTTGTTTATATAAAACGTTAAATAAGCGTCATAGAAAAGCTTGTACTTTGTTTATATAAAACATAAATAAGCGTCATAGAAAAGCTTGTACTTTGTTTATATAAAACATAGAATAAGCGTCATAGAAAAGCTTGTACTTTGTTTATATAAAACATAGAATAAGCGTCATAGAAAAGCTTGTACTTTGTTTATATAAAACATAGAATAAGCGTCATAGAAAAGCTTGTACTTTGTTTATATAAAACGTTAAATAAGCGTCATAGAAAAGCTTGTACTTTGTTTATATAAAACGTTAAATAAGCGTCATAGAAAAGCTTGTACTTTGTTTATATAAAACGTTAAATAAGCGTCATAGAAAAGCTTGTACTTTGTTTTATATAAAACGTTAAATAAGCGTCATAGAAAAGCTTGTACGTTGTTTATATAAGACGTAGAATAAGCGTCATAGAAAAGCTTGTACTTTGTTTATATAAAACGTTAAATAAGCGTCATAGAAAAGCTTGTACTTTGTTTATATAAAACATAGAATAAGCGTCATAGAAAAGCTTGTACTTTGTTTATATAAAACATAGAATAAGCGTCATAGAAAAGCTTGTACTTTGTTTATATAAAACGTTAAATAAGCGTCATAGAAAAGCTTGTACTTTGTTTATATAAAACATAGAATAAGCGTCATAGAAAAGCTTGTACTTTGTTTATATAAAACATAGAATAAGCGTCATAAAAAGCTTGTACTTTGTTTATATAAAACATAAATAAGCGTCATAGAAAAGCTTGTACTTTGTTTATATAAAACGTTAAATAAGCGTCATAGAAAAGCTTGTACTTTGTTTATATAAAATTGTTTATATAAAACATAGAATAAGCGTCATAGAAAAGCTTGTACTTTGTTTATATAAAACGTAAAATAAGCGTCATAGAAAAGCTTGTACTTTGTTTATATAAGACGTAAAATAAGCGTCATAGAAAAGCTTGTACGTTGTTTAAATAAGACGTAAAATAAGCGTCATAGAAAAGCTTGTACTTTGTTTATATAAGACGTAAAATAAGCGTCATAGAAAAGCTTGTACTTTGTTTACATAAGATGTAAATAAGCGACAAAGGAAAGCTTGTACTTAGTTGACATCAAACGTAAATAAGTGTCTTACAAAAGCTTGAATAAGATTATACATATAACCAAAGAAAAAGTTTTACTCAGGTTTGCTCTTACCGCAGCATAAATCCTAGACGATTAGAAATATTATGGTATGGCGCCACGTCAAAATTACACTTGTTATACATAATTTACTTCAGAAGAAAATGTCTTAAAAGTTTCCTAATATCTAGGAACTTTATTTAATAGATTTAATTCGGGCTGGAACAAGCGGCCGTAAACATTCACTAAACTAATTAACGGAACATCGTAATAAAGCATTAAAATTAGAAAAGTTAACTTTCATGACATGTTTTATCATACAAACATTCCAGCTGCCACGGCACCGTCCTTTTCTAATATAACATACAAAGTTTAAAACAAATCTGTAACTACCTCATATTTTTTGTGAGTATGTACTTAGAATTTATGACTTTTTTACTTCACCAGTGCATTATTCGATTACCGCAAGCCTCTTTGTGACTACATAAAACACTTGTAAAAAAGAAAGAAACAAACCAAACAAAAAAAAAGGGAAAAAAGAAATTCTCTCATGAAAGACAAGTATTGTAGTTGAAATTTACAGTTTTATTCATATCTGTCTTTGAGATAAATTGGCAATTTATATTGTTTTTATTCTAACATTTTCATATTTCTAAAAGAAAAAAAAAGATAACAGGCAACTTTTACAGTAGATCATTCCCTTGGTTCATGTTATAGAAAGGTGTTTTTTTTACTTTTTAGGCAAATAAGATCTAAAATGTCGTTTATACATGAATTTTTTGTAAAATAGTAAAATTTTGACATATCCAATGTTGATATACATGTGTAGATGAGCAGAGAAAAGCTAAAGACATTTGACAAGTTCACGAATGTATTTAATACAGAAGATCACTAGCGCACATGTATAGAGTCACTGTAGGGCCTCATTAACCCTGTTACATGTACATTGTACAGGGGGTAACCCGTGTTTATCTGAGTTCATAATCTGTACAAACTTTTCAACAGTTTCAACAGTATTTCAATAAAACACTGTAGTTAAAAACCACCGGAATTTGTAATGTAATAAGTGATAGAGTTTACCTATTATTAGTGTATGGTCACACGAGATCTCACGAGATTTGTCTGACAGTTTGTGATGGTCATCTTAGATTATCACCCATCAACTGCTTATTTATAAAGTTCAAATGACAGTAAATACAGCAGTGATGGACGGTAAAGTCAGGATTTTAATGCGATGTGACCGGTGGTCAGATTTTTGTAATTATTTTGAGGAAGTACCCTGTTTATAGCCCGTGTGTGAAATGTTAACATTAACAAGGTCAAAGTATTCATTTTGTACTTCACATACCTTCAAATTGATAGTAACAATCGTTAGTAACTTATTCTTCTTTCAAAATAACGAATCATAAATCATGGTTTATCTATTGTTTTATGTATTCATTATTTCTGGTAAAAATAACTTATAAATGGTTGTCATTTGAAATGCTGTTTATATATAGTCTTTATTTCCGCTTTTCAGCAAATACAACACATACAACATGAAATATATACAAACGATTAACATATGTTACATGATTATGACAAATGTACATTTATATATATAATTAAACAGTGATAATTAAGTTCAAGTTGAATAGTTTTATATACATGTATATTCTATATGATAATATTACTATATGCTTATACATAAATAAATTTGCATATGCCTCTTGTTGACTTGATAAATGCATGTTGACCACTTAATGCCAACCTTAACATCATGTCTGTTTAATTTTGTTTCTGTTAAAGTATTAAAACGCTAACGGAACTGCAGTACACTGATAATAACGAGTTGATACATGTAATTTTCTATTTATAAAGAGGTTCTTGACAAACTTCAGTTTTTCAATATTGGTCATGATATAACAAAACATAATTATAAGTAGAAGATTTAACGTGGCAGCAGAAATTGTTAGCGACAGCATATTCCACCCATATGACCAGTGCAAGGCAATATCAGCCGACACAACCATGTCGTCTGCTCATAGACTCCACTCTTCTATTCAGTCAGCACAAACATTTTATGGGGGAAATATCCCTAAAAATAATGAATGGTTTTGTCCTGACTGAAAATTGGACAAGTCCATTTAAGATATTTAGTGTGGTTAGAGTTAATGGAAGTGGATAATTGAATGTAAATAAGGGTCATGAATCTGCCAAGCTGCTCATTGAAAACGTATGTTCCACAATAAAATCCCCGTAAAGCACATCCTTTATGAATACCAATTACAATAAAATCATATAGTTAAAACTATTTACATGGGCAGCCTTTAATCACGGAGAAGGTATTTTAGTGTAAATGATATTGTATATAGCAATTATAATGCGACTTTGCACTCATGGTCGTTCCCATGTTTTATCTATCGTGTAAAAAGACACACGTTCACTTCTAAGCTAGAATTAAATTGTTCAAAACAATTGAACTGTAAATTAGGAAAAAATATGTGTGCTTATTCGCGCAGAACATATATATATTGTTGTAAAAACTGTGGAATGTGACACAAGTTGGTCAGTTGTTAACTGCTTGTGGAGAAAACAGACATATTGAATGTTGTTACATATAACGTATTATGTGTACTACAATATTAATAATATTACATAATAACATGCCATATAATAATAATAATAATAATAATAATAATAATAATAATAATAATAATAATAATAACAATAATAATAATAACAATAATTAATAATAATAATAATTTTTATTTAGAGAAGGTAACATAATTAACATTAAGAATATACAAAACAAGAATTTATATCATTCAAATTAATATTGATTCAAACAAGAACATTGACTTTATTTGATCATTTTTTGGGGGGTAAATTATAACATGTACATTATGGTATAGCGATACATCATTCATCACCCTCTGTAAAATAACTGTCGCTGATTTACAAACATAACTAAGTGGTTTATAAGTAGTAAAATCTCAACATTATAAAAATGTTAGATGAAAAAATGCACCTTTGAACACTTTAGAGTAACATGTCGTGCAAAATGTTTTTTTTCCCCAAATGCACACGAAACCACGATATAATCTAAGTTAGTGAACAGATATAATCGTGATTTTATTTTAACTGCCAACTTTACAAAAATTAATAAATGAAAAAAAATGTGCTTATTCTTCAATATAATGAAACTGTTTAAAGGGAGACTACTGTTGAAATAGTATGACAAATAATTACACATTTGTCTCCCGCTTTAATTACGATGTGCTTTGCGGTCTTGTTGTTTTAAAGTTTTTAATAAATGGATTCAATATCATGTACATATTTCTATACTAATCATATAATAAATTATTAAAAGGGACTCCACTGAGGTTTAAAAGCCTAAAACCATAAAATTTGACTTTCTTACATAAATGAGCTGCTGCACTTTAAACAAAAATATATGCAGATATAGTTAAGAAATATACTTTGAAATAAATAGAAAATTGTATTTTTATGCTGTTCTTAGCCCAATTTGAGTGAAAAGCGTTTAAACGCTTTTCATTTTGGGTCATTTTTACAATTTGAATAGTTATTCTGGAAAAACGAAATGCGCGAATGATCTGAAATTTTGTACAAATATTAGAAGTCTAAACCTACATCAAATGGTATATTTATCTGGAAAAAATATTTTCAGTTCCATCATGTCAAAAAACTTCAGTGGAATCCATAAACCTAATAAATGAAATGACTAACGTAATTCTCAATAATTGTGTTTCTTTAAGTTACTTTATTGCAGACGAATTGTTTAAGAGGTTTTGTTGTACAGATGTTAAATTAACATTTCTTTCTCTATTCTCCAGCTGGAATCACGTGCGAATGTACGACGTTAGATTGTCAGGCTGAACGAAGACGGACATGTGAAGCGGAGTTTTTCTGTTACGTTGAAAACATGAACTCAGTGGTGACTCGGGGATGTATAAATAACAAGACACCGTTACTGTGCGAAAACCGGAAGCCAACAAAACTAAAATCTGGGGATTACCCAGAATGGCCGTTCTTGTTCTGCTGTAAGGATGAATTCTGTAACAAGGAAGTTGTTCCGATTAAACCAACAAGAGAGCCGGGTAAATATTCTTCATTGAAATTCTTACATTGAAATAAATTATTTCTTCGATTAAGGCACATACCCGATTTACCATTCTCGTCAATGAACTTGGCCTTTTAAGATATGAGAATGTTTTATCTATAATATGATATCCCCTTGCCAAACACTTCCACTTAAGTCCATAAAATTTATAAAAAAATTCACGATTTCAACTTCACGAATTCGCGATTTCAAGTTATTCACGAAGATGAAATTGTGAAATCACGAAGATGAAATCAGAAATTCATGAAGTTGAAATGTCCCCACCGGGCTTTCGTACCTGAACTAGAACTGTTGCTTGTTATATCATATAAAATGATACATATCATATTATCAGCCATAAACAACATTGTTTCATATACGTTATTTCGCATTGAGATGAGATAAGAAATAAGTCGCCGATGTCCTTGTAAATCAATTCTTACCAACATTTACCAGGCGGCGAGTAAACATACAGCATCGAAATCAGTAAATCACTAATAATGTATACTTACGTTGAATAACATTCATACAGATTAAATCTGAATTGTACGGTGCCATGAAGGTGCCATCAGAAATATTTTAATTACCACGTGCGTACGATAAAGCTACTACTTTCGCACGTTCAGTCTATAACGTGATAGATAAAATATTTCTGATGTCCCCTATATGCCACCGTAGAATTGTGTTATCAATCAGTATAAACGCTGTCAACCCCCGCCAGAGGCAAGTCGTTGTTTCCGTGAGCTCATTGCTTACATAGTACTTGTTGGTCGAGAGTGTTTCAATAAGCTTATAGCTTCAAACACAATCGAAATGAAATCAATTTGTATACACTAAATTAATCAGTAATTGTAAAATATCATAAAATCACTTCTTTCATGGCCAGCTAAAATATTTTTACACCATTAACTCAAAATGCAACATTTCCTGTATATTACATACACCTGGGATACCCAAGATTACACCGAACCTTAACAAATGAGTAAAGTTCAACCCACGCCGTTTCCGACATAACCGGACCTTCTCTAATCCGGACATTCTCTTATCCGGATCTTCTAGAATCCGTCCGAAACCAAACATTTTTCACAAATATACAAATATAATCACTAGGCTAACATCTACATATATCGTTTGACTTTAATATGAATTTTCCCCTTTAAAATATTGTTTATATTTAATGATATTTCTATTTCAGTTGTTGAACCGGAAGTGTATGACGTCAATGATGACTCGGACACAAACAACCCGTACGTTAGATATGAGTATGAAGATAGAGTGCCGTGTCAAAAAAATAATGATCACTCAAAACTCAATCCTATATACATTGCCGTGCCGATAGCCGGTGTTTGCGTTCTTTTAGCACTCATTATATTTGCAATGTATTTATTAAGAAGACGTACGGACTTCTATGCTCAGTATGACGCATATCATTATCATGAACAGATGGCAAAGTTAGCCAATAAACAAAATGAAACAAAAGTTCAGGGTTGTGATACAAACAGATGCACGGACAGTGAACGGTCTTCGCAAGGAAGTGAAACTAAATTATTCTTAAATGCATGATGTCTGCAGTATCATTAACAAAAAAGTGAGATCAAAATGATTTGACGTTTGCTTAAATCATGTATCGCTCGAGGATACCGCTCCACTATATCAGGCACTTCCGGAATAAAGCGTCAACACGCTTATGCTGTAAGCCAGCACCGACATTCGGAGATACTCTAATGCCATCGAGGATCATTGTGGAGTCATTGAGGACACCTCTTAATGCTCTACTTCAGCGTTTTAATGCATTTGTGTATGTTATGAGAAATGTAGGGGACATTCTGTATTGATTATCCCACATGTGTTTACAAGTTTTCATTACAAACAGATATAAACATATTACAAATGTGTTATTTTTAAAGCAAAAGGATATGCTGCTTTTAAATGAGATTATTGATAATGTACATGTTTGGCTCGTAAATTGATTTGTTTTGAAAACTTTGTAAGATATGAACTAAAATCAGGGTTTTTATTTCGGCCTTCGTATTAATGTATTTATGCTCAGGGATGTTTAGTCTTGTAAATAGCCACATTATTTTGTCTCAAACTCACTCGGAATTACTTGGTGATTTTCGTTATTTAATTTATCGGAAGTGACCTCCATTTCCATGCACATGTTCTTAATAATCAGCTCAATAAAATTTCACAGCCACTGTCTGTCTGTAGCACAATGTAAGATTTTGCCAAGCTTAATTTATGTGGAACAGGGTACGGAGCTTTTGTAGAAGTATTTAACATGTACATATGAATAATAAATACAATAAATGCCTCTACTTTATACTGTATATTTAAAACCGCTGACTTTTTCATCAAAATCTTAAATGAAATTCAGATTTTTCATCAGTATTTGTTTACTGTTTTTCTTATTTGTTTAAAAAAAAACAGAAAAAAAAGAAGTTTTTTTTAGTTTTTTTTTTTTTGCTTTTGTGTTTTTTTTGTTGTTTTCGTTTAAGGGGTTCATAAATATGTTTCTGTTTCAAAAACCAAACTCATGAGATGAGAGTTTTCTACAATACGTAGGTACCTACATGTCCATTGTTGCTAATTTGGAATAATTCTATATTATTGAAAGTCATGTGTTGTACTAGCGGCAGACATGATATATACAAGTGTCGCCACAACCAACGCCAGAATCATGGTACACGCTATCATCTTGTAACATCTGTTATGACATTTCAACTACCTGATCCTTTAGATTCCAGTCTCATTATATCGGCATTTTGTTGTGAGTTGTTTGGCGCCATACATTTATATCATTTCCTGCAGAGCTCTGTACTTTCTCACGTTAGTTACGTCGATATGTTTTATGTCGGACCAGCAGAAATAAGTCAGCGTCTGTAATTATCTAGAACTTAAAAAATGGTTAACACACGATCTCGTGATGTCTATAATTCATCGTTAACTTATTTGATCACAGTAATAGCTTTTCTAATTAACATCGATATTTATAAATAATTAACCTGCAGGCGGAAACACATTTTACCCATAAGACCTGTGTCGTCTGCGCTATTCGATATTCAGTCAGAAGTTATCCCGGGTTTTCCCCTAAAATGACGAATGGCTTTGTTCCGATTGAAATATGGGCAAGTCTATTTAAGATATTTAGGGTATCCAGGATTACTAAATATATTAGACATACAAAATTATTGTAGATGTTTTCTTTTAATTATGTGAGATTGGATTTTTAATGTATGTAAAAAATTTAAATATTGACTAACCTTTTTAGAGGTTATATACAAAATGCTGATTGTAAAAGGTACAGGGTTTTATTTTGTGATTAGCTTACATTATTTTCTAAATATTCTTAATTCTTTTTTGGTGTGTTATTATTTCAAGTTTCTTATAAAATATATAAAGTCAGTGAAAAGTTATTCTATCACATATATAAACACATAGTCAATTCTGAAATACTGGAAATATTGTATCATGTTGTGTCCTAAATGTTGAAAATATTGACCGTTTTAACTTTATCGTCTGCTACTGGAACAAGAGTATTGTTATTATAATACAAGTGTTGATTGTTACTTACTTATCATTATTTTAATGTGTATTGGGATTTTATTTGTATGGTGACATGGATTTACTGAACAATTAAAATGATAAAACAGAAATTATCTTTGTTATTATTTCAAAAGATTGTTACAAAATGAATGAATTTTTGAATTATTAGATATATTGTTAGGTTTGATGAAAGTAAAACAACATACACACATATATACACGCATGCTCGCACATGCGGACAAGCACACACACACACACACACATGAACGCACGCACGCATACGCGCACGGACGCATACACAGCAAACAAAAAAGATAAACCCAACGATATTTTGAGCTTAACTTTGAGTACCCTTTGTTATTTCCAATGAAAGAACTAAACTTAGTTTGCATGAAGATTTTTTTCACAAATAAATTCTATCGTTGATATATTAGTCAGGGAACTTATGATACTTCTGTACTTAAAAAGTACATGCAATTAATTTTAACAGAATATACGTTTTTCATCTATAATTTGTTCCAATAATTTTCAATTTTTAGTTTGAATCTGATTTAGCTACCGTTTAGACGAGAACGAGTAACAAAATATCACAAACTAACATTCAGTAAATATTTAATCTTTATTTAATACACATATCACATTTTTGTAAGTGTGCATATATGTGCATCATTATTGGTCCCATCATGCAAAATTTGTCAATGAAACAGCTTAGAGATATGGGATTATATGTCAAAACAAACACAAATTTAACACAGCTGCCCTAAATTGTGAACGTGCGTGAAAATTCAAATTAATGTTGCAAAATGACGATAGCTGTGATAATTATTCTTTTACAGCATAACATGAATCGTACATAAAATTTAAGGGGTAGACTTGTCCGTCCTTGAACATCCTTCGTACGTTACTCGAGACTGTTGACAGTAACGTTGTGTTCATTAACGGAAATTCTAACACGACCCGCATTTTTCCCTATTGTACATAGAAGAACAGAAAGTGTGTGTTTAATATTATGCTATAAAATCACTGTTTGACGTTCTATATTTAGACATGTGACGTAATCATTATACACGTGACGTAACTACTTAAAATGTGACGCGCTGACAATAAGTACGGACACAAATCAGGCGCAATTTAGCTAATTATCATGTACGGGCAGCATTTATTTGTTGATGTGTTAGAATCGAAATAATATATCCAAATCGGTGATTTTATTGCTTGATAGCATCACTGTGTGTCGTTCGGATGCGCATCATTATATCACTCGGGCTACGCCCTCGTGATATAATTCCCCGCATCCGAACTCCAAACAGTGATGTTATTGAGCAATAAAATCACAGTTTGGGATATATTATTTCTTAAATAACGCTGAATACCAACACTAGGAGCTTGCCCGTGTCAAAAGAACAAACACAGGATTACGAATTCTATAAGATGTCTTAATACTAGCGGGGTCCGTACTCTCAGTGCCTGAAAGGTCGGGTGTACCCTCATTAAACTTAAAATACACGATGTCTTACTAGTATACAACAAAAGTGACACTAAATCTAAACATTTTAGAAACAACGTAAATGTGATGGACATTACAGTCTCCAAAACCTAAATGTGATAGAAAGTATAGGAGAAGAATTGAACTGCCATGTAAAAATATCTGATACAGTGCCACAGACCCACAGGGATGTTCGAGTGTGGTCAAATCTTCCCAATTCTAAAATATAATTCAGAGACTATATACCAATGTAAATTATATTACACTATGCTATTTTCAAATGATACGCACCTCTGTAATATTCCGGGGAGGCCAGTATGTATAACTTTATGTCAGTATATGAAAGCATGTTGTCTCCCTTTAGACGCTCATTCTTTCAATAAACATATTAGCCCGATTCCAGTAATGTTTATTAATATCTTCGCAACACGTTATGTTTAGGATCCAATCTTATTAATTCAACGTCGTTTTAATTTCCAGTGTCCAAAATGTCCATATCAAATCTATATCACACCCCATATAGCCTCGTTTTCATTTCCAGAGTTCGGAAAGGTACATAAAAAATCCATATCACACCCCATATAATTATGCTTGTTTTCATTTTTTGAGGGCCCGAAATCCATATCAAATACTTATTGTAATTGAAGTAACTAAGTTCTGTCAAAATGCCAAACATAATGGTGTAAAATAAAGAGGTCATTTAACACGATTGATTCTATTGGACTCGTGCACAGCTGCAAAATTTATATCAGACTCGATTAAGCGCTTGGACAGCTGTGTACTCTGTGGCTAATATATATAGTGGTAGGAATCGGGAGGTACATGGTATGCAAGCAAAAGGTGTCTCATAAGTCAAAATGGCTGGCCCTTTCAGTAGGGGTGACACTATAATAAACAAGACCTTTACCTTTTTTTTTATATTCAGTATTGTACTCAATAATGTATAATAACCTCATACTATATATTATTGGAAGATAAAACAAACACGTGACATTTTAGTACAGCAGTTTATTATGCATTAGTTTGTGAATATGTTATAATAATTATAGTGATACATATTGTGTCATAATGTTGTAACCTCTCTCTAAATAAACAATATGAGTTGATATTACACTGTATACAATATGATATGCTAATTTTAGATATTTCAGGAAGGATTATTGAAAGTTCTAATCGCTATTCTTTATTATTTAAGTATTCAATAGAATGCGAGTGATGTAAAACTAACAGTTAGATATGATAAAAATACTTTCAGTTTTCATTTTCGTCAAATAACAGTTAGCAGATTTTCTCAAATGCTAATAAATACTAATTATAATTTAATAAAAACTGACGTCCTTTCACCATCTTTACATAAAATACTTTCAATCTTTGAAGCATTTGAATGGAATCGTAGGACTGGTATGGCAAACTTACTAATATGTGTAACTAAAGATTAGATTCATGTGAAAAATTGTCAAATTATAGAATTAACAGTTTCTAAATACATGTATATAAAATACTTGTAACTTGTTATATTCAAAAAAATATATAATAAAATTCGTGAATATATAAAACAATTAAACCTTGTTATATGTAAATGCTGTATCAAATGATGCTAATGATACATTACACCGATGTTATGTCGGTTAATAAAACTGTTTCAACATAAAATTTTACATGAACATGGATCTATATATTGCTCAAAAGTATGTAGCATGACGAAATTATATATGTTTTCTAATAAAAAAACTATGAACGGGGATCAAGGCTGATCCGGGAGATTCGCGTTGAAAGTGTCGATCCACTTCTGGTGCAAGCATTTGGAGAACTGGAGCTGTTAAATAAAGATATGACATATACAATGATAATAGCACATACTCTGTGACGTGTGTGTACGTATATATGTAAGAAAAAATACATTAAATATATCGCTAATGAAATCTCAAAGTAAAATACACATATCTTAGTTAAGTAAAAGTATTCCAATGTGCTAAACAAATTAATAAAGAAACGTTGATATTCTAGAGTGAACTAAAGGACATTTTTTGAAAATATTTTAAATGTAATTCTAAACGGGCGTATAATTTACCTCAGCTAAATAAAGAAACGTAGACACAAATAAACGGTTCTAGAGCGAACTAATCTTTTTTTATTTTATTTTTTTTAACTTCTTTAAATATGATTTTACAGGGGCGTATAATTTACCTCAGCTAAGGAACCCATATATCCCTCGGCACGGTTTCTATGTGTGTAACATCCTCCAAAGTCTAGCCCTTCAGCAGCCACGGAGATAGCTCCTGTTTTAATTAAGAACAACATAAGTTAAAAAAACGTATATGTAAAATATAAAAAAAATGGTGGCGAGACTTTTTTGTTATTGACAAAATAATATTTAGATCCAAAGACAAATATCACACGAGTTTTGACATATTTACCAGTTGGAGATTCTATTTTTAGATGTTATTACCTGTGAGTGGTTTTCTATCAAAGGTAGGTAATCCTGTTCCTTCATTCAGCATGTACACGTCATGACCATTGTAAATGACAGTTAGTGTATTCCACATTCCAGGCTTAAATGAGAATACAAAATCAAGGATACTCTTGTATAAACATAAACATAAAAACAGGACATTTAAAATGTAAGAGACTGACGTATTATAACATACTTTGACTTAACTACACAACAAACCCTTGATCGCTCACCTGAGATATATTGCTGGTAAAGGTCATTATTTGTTTTTAATGTTCATTTTGAGGTCATTTTTTACCCAAGCTCCATAATTCTTTTAAATATTTGTAGATCTCCGCTATAGAATGCCTCAAGACAAATATCTAAGCTCCTGATATTGTAATTATAAATACTGTAAGTCTATATAAGGAACCCAGGGACAAGATTCAAATTCGACCTCAGGGGAATGATTTATTTTTTTTGTAGAGGACATCAAGGCGATGCTACCTGTTAATTATTAAAGCTCTTGGTCATTTTACTATCAGAAAAGAAAATCTGTAAGACATTTTTACTATACAATTCTATGTAAACTAGGTGACATTTAGGGCGGGTCCATTTTTATATAACTTCTGTAGAGGATCATTTCTGTAAAGTTTGATCAAAATCTGTTGAACAGTATAAGAGATGATGTTTTAAGAAATTGTGGAAAACGATGGACGACAGACGAGGAACGACGGACGCTTTGCCATTACAAAAGCTCACACCTGACCACTGTGCTTAGGTGAGCTTAAAAGGGTTATGATAAAACAGCTGTTTAGTTTTAAAATGCTTAAAATTGATGTGTTAAATATCAATTTTACTAAGAATACTATTTTAATTCCACTAGCACTTATTTCTATTTATCTTTTCATGGAATTAATTTTTATAATAATATCATTTTCCATTATTGACTTTTGGTTATAACTTTGTATCAATGTAATTATGTGAAAAGATCAACTGTAAACTGAACTGTATTTTGATAATAATAGTTAATTTATGCACTGTATTACAATTATTCAATATTATATATGAAAAACAGTCAAATGTATCACATGAAAAAATGACAGTACAGTATGTGATTGGAGTTATAATGTACTCAAATATCAAATAAATTAGTTGAACTGTACAAAATATGAGCAAGGTAAATCTACTATAACATGTTCAATATGCAAGTTACATTAATCTGTACAGTCATTGGGCTAGTTTAAGCTGCACATTATGTATGTTTGATTAAACCATACAATATTTGTGTTAAGTTACCCTGTACAATATTTGAGTTGAATAAACTACATGTATACAATATGCTATATTCAATTGTACACTATATGAGCTAGATAATTATAATAAACTTTATTTCAGACCTTATAAAATATAATCAATAGACATTCAACATTTGCACCACGTGATGTTCCACTCATTATTGGACCCATTCTTATCAATTATGCCTCGTTTTCATTTCTATAGTTAAAAATTTCTATATCAAATCCATTTTACAATCCTTAGAGTCTCATTTTCTTTTCAAGAGTCCAAAAGGTCCATATCAAATCCATATCGCACACCCATCTAGCATCGTTTTTATATTCAAGAGTTCAAAATCTATATCAAAGTCTTATTGTATTTAAATTAACAAAGTTCTTCAAAATCTCATAAAATAGTGGTGCCATTAAACATGGTTGAGAACAATACTGATTCTATCGTATTCGTACACAGCTGCAAAACTAGCGCATCGTCCAATATAGATTTGACAGCTGTATACTTGTGCAATAGAATTCAGTATTGTACTCAACAATGTATCTTAATACATCTTTAGTACAAATGTCATATAGGATTTTATTTAAAAAGCTTCCTAGCTTCTTTTCAAAATATATATAAATGTGAATAAACGAAAAAAGGACATAATGTAAGATATATTATCATCGTATTACTGTATATTGAACTTTTCCAACAGCTAAACCAGGGGCGTTTTGATGTGTTCCGTCAGTGGCCAGCTCAAGGATCAACTCATTATTCTGTAAATACAGTTCTAGAGACGGGGCTCCAAGATCAACTCTCATACAGTTTGACAAGAGAATTTGCTTGTAGTTTCCAATGGTGCCATCTGCTTCAGGTAGATATACAAGCTGAAAATAACAAGTCCACTGTATGGTAAATGCATGCAACAAATTCTATAGAAGAGGAAATATCCGCCAGTTCATAGGCATGTTCGCGTACAAAGTATCATAATAAAAGAACTAACAAGTTTAAATATCAAACAATACAAAAGATATTGTCCATAAGTAAAGGCTGTATGAGCAAAGGTGTAAAACTCTATTTTTAGCACAGGTGACCTTTATCCAAATGACCCATAACTCATTCCAAAGGAAGAAATCTATGCAAGTTATCATCCTATCAAATATGAAAAACATCAGGCAAAAAATAAAGACTGTATAAGCAAATCTGTAGAAATCTATTATTGGAACCATTGACCTTCACTTGCTGACCACTTACTCAATCAATAGAGAGAGTTATATGCAAGTTATCTTCCAGCCAAATATGAAAGACATCTGCCAATAAATAAAGGCTGTATGGGCAAAAGTGTAAAAACCTATTTTTAGCACTTGTGACCTTGACCCAACTGACCTTTAACCCCATTCAAAGAAAGAAGATTTCTAAATTTTATGTTCCTACCAAATATAAAATATATCAGTCAATAAGATTACACCTGTAAAAGTTTCAAAATCTTTTTTTGACATTGGTGACCTTGACCTCAACTCAAATGACCCCTAACTGAGCCAAAAGAAAGACGACCTCCCTAGGCGTGTTCCTATTAAACACGAACTACATCAATTTAAAAATAAGAACTGTATGAACAAAAATGGATAAATTAATTTTTTACACTAATGAGTTGAACCTGGCCCCATTAAACCACAAAATATTATTAAAAGGCCTTTTGAAGGTATCCACCTACCAAATATTGCAGTTATCAATATAATATCAATATATGAAGTTATTAGGAGAAATTTAAGATAAAACCAATTTGGCGGAATAAGTTGACCATATAAGGCCTATTTTCAAAGTGAAAAAGGGGAAAATAACAGGGGAAAAATGGATGGCACAGTTATTTCACTTGGCTATTTCATACTTTGTATTGATAAGTAAGTGTTGAAATTATGAAGCTATTAGTATAGATAGAACATAAAATAAATCCAACTTGCCGGTTTAGATTAACCATACCCATTTTCAAACTGCTGCAAAGGGCAATACTTGGAAAAAAATAGAAGCCATAGTTATGAAACTTGTCAAGATCATGAACTTTGTATTTTGTACTTTGTGTAAATTATGAAGCTATCGGTACATACAACCTGTCGTTTTAGGTTAACCTCGTAAGGACGGACGGACAAACGGTTCAATTACTATATGCGTGGGGGGAGGGAGAAAGGGGCATTAGAAAAAACAGGAGCCAGCTGTTTGACAGGCACGGAAATTGTGAGCTTTGTTAAATCTACTTAGCAACTATTGTCATCTAAATTTTTGAGGTTTCGACAATATTTAAAAACGACTCGTTTTGTCGAACCGCTGACTTCATCATTACAATTTAATAAAATCTGCATAGACAAACATGACAAAAGAAGGAAGACATGATTATTAAAGGTATCATTTATAGAAAAAATATTTGTCAAATAGAAAAAAAGACTTAAAAACAATTTAATTTAAAAGATACTTGAGCGTATTCCTGGGGATAATTAGCCGTCAGATTTGGATCACATCTGTTGAGCTGAATTTGAGTGTCATACTTTTTAATTTATATATTATGTTCTACAAAAGTTCTGCCCTGTCGAAAAATGGTTCTTTGATAAGCAGAATTGGCGCCACATTGTGGCGCTCTTTTCAAAAAGGATGTCACAGAAATAGACATCTTTAATAACTTCAACCTGCGGCTCCTTATAAGATTATTTACATAATACCTTACCTTAATGAAAAGATTTTCATATGAAGACTGGAAAAATGGTGTTCGGAAGTATAAATCTCCATTGAATTTGTAAGAAGTTCTTCCATTCAGTTTTGGCCCTGTAAAAATGAATAAAATCTACATCATTTCAGATATATCTCCTTTTAATTTAACGCTTTAGATTTGTGTCGTTCATTTGAAGTCATGTAAAAACTAGCGGTGAAAATATGCACACTATGTTGAGAACAAACACACTTCATTATTTTATCAATTTTATACAAACGTATAAACAAAGATATAGAACTTCATATATAAAGAACCTAAGAACTGTTAAAAATGTAAAACAAGGCAGTCTGAAGGACTGCTAAATCCCCTTCCGCAGTGAAATTTCTGCCAAGTTAGCTTAACAACATTGCAGAGGTTTAAATGTTATGGAGTAGACTTTCTTACATTTTACCTGTGTGACCTTGACCTTGGGTGTAGCAATTCAATTATTGTGCTCTCCACTTCATCTCATAATGGTGATCATTCATGCCAAGTTATTTTTAAAAAAACTTTCAGCGGTTTTAAAGTTATGGAGCGGACACTAATTGTACACCTTTAAACACTTGGGGATAGCACATTCTCTCATAATAGTGATCATTTGTGCCAAGCTATTTAAAAAAACCCAAAGGTTTTAAAATAATGGAGAGGACACGGAATTAAGACTTTTATACATTTGACCTTTAAGTGTGACCTTGACATTGGGGGTGGCAACCCAATTATTGCGTTCTGCACATGTTCCTTATAATGGTGATCAATTGTGCCAAGTTATCTTTTAAAAAAACTTCAGCAATTAAAAAGTTATGAAGCTGATACAAAATGTAGATTTTTTCACATAATTCCTTTAAGTGTGACCTTGACCCTTTGGGTAGTAAGCCAATTATCACGTCATCTTATAATGGTGATCAGTTGTGACAAGTAATTTCAGTGGTTTAAAAGTTATGGAGCGGACACGAAATGTAGACTTTTATTATGAAATGATGACATTTTAACATTTGACCTTTAAGTGTGACCTTGACCTTGGGGGTAGCAACCCCATGAATGCGCTCCGCACATCGTCTCATTTTGGTGATTACTTGTGCCAAGTTTTTTTAAAAAAATATCAGTGATTTTTAAAGTTATGGAGCAGACACAAAAGTGTTACGGACGGACGGACGAACTGGCAGAAGAATAGACGGACGGACTGACAGACGGAGGCCATTCCTATAATCTCCTTTCCGCTTTGCGGAAGGGGATTAATAATGAATTTACTTCGGAATTGTGCGTCATAACGGTACCACTGAATGTGTCAGGGCTTCTAAAATTCTGTTAAATATTATAATAAATTGCGATCAGGATATCAAAGTTTTACATTCATCTCTTATCATGTTTGTGTGGTAAAATGTGATGAAAGTCTGGTGCAAAAGTTTAACATACCTTCCCCTATTGTTCCAATACTTTCTATCTTTACAGCACTCTGGCTGCCGAGTCTGTGCCAAGTTGGGGCGTCAAACAATATATCAAGTTCAAGGGCACATGCTGAAATAATAATATATACAGGTCTATATGTAATATAATTATACCCTATATCAATGACATTTTTCAAACAAGTTCTTTATATCTGTTGTAGTTAATCTTGGGTATCATAAAATAAACTATTCAACATCGAAACTGATTTCGTGTATGTTACGTGCAATGTTTTGCTTCAATCGCATATCCATTTCTTCTTGCACAATTTTAGAATGTATCATTATTATTATTATTATTATTATTACTGGCAGTACAAATGTATATGTATGACAATATGATATTTTATTTAGTAAAGTTAATTGTACAATATAACCAATCAACTTACAAATTCATGTTTAAAAACAATTCAATAAATACCGAAATAACATACAGTTATCTGGAGGGTTTTCAACTGGTAAACTGCAGCCACATGCATGCAAGGTAAATTCTGTTCCCGGAGCACATGGCATCTTTGTTTCGATACCATGTGAAATCGTCAGAAAATGATCTGATTCGTTAAAAGCTGGTCTAAGTGGACACACTAAAAATATACAACACAGTAAGTAAAGGAAGATCCACTGTGCTCCGAAATATTATAAAATATATCATTTCAAATTCTTACATAAATCACCTGGCGCACTTGAAATGTTAAAATACACAGCGATAATGAATTTACACAGAAATAAAATGAAAATTGATTTTTTTTTGTGCGTGCAATTTCTATGTTCTCATTTTGGGTCATTTCACACAGTTTGTAATTCTGAAAAACGGTGTAGGCAAATAACTAATTGTCCAGACCTTAATCAAATTGTGCATTACCAATTAAGATAATATTTCCCCACCTTAAATGTAAAAAACAACAAGAAATGTTGCAAGTATGTACAACTTGCTGAAAATAAGGAGATATTCTAGCTATAATGTCTACTTAAAAACACCAAGTTTTCGTTCAATATTTGCCTTAATAATGTTTTTATTGTAATATATATGTATTGTGAATGGTTGCTGATATTTCTATCTCCCCGGAGAGGAAGGTGTGCATGTTAATTGCTATTTCTGTAAAGAACTCGTTCTGTATCACGTGTATAAGAATCTGAACGCAGAATAAAAAATACATCGTCTTTATCGCCACCAATTTCAGCTATGTATACACAATTATAAAATAAGTTGAACAAACCTTCTTTGAAACCAGGAGGGCACAAGTCTGAGCATTTTAGATTCATATCTGGGGTTTTCTCAATACATGATTGTGTATTTCCATCAAACACGAAATTTGATGGGCAACACCAGCGTTCATCACCTTCGACAGCGTTACATCTCATGTATGTTCTACAAGATCCATCTAACAGTGAATACTTCTCCACGTTTGGTCGAAGACAGATATCTGTATAATGGAAGCACAAAAGAAATGAAATATTTGAACATCTGTACGACTCGACTTTTGCCTCGTCCAATAAAGGTTTGACAGCTGTGTACACGTCCAATAACAACGTATACATCAATGTATAATAACCTTATATTAAGTTTTGCAATGTAAAGGAAGAAAATCTTTAAGCGGCTCGTAAAAAGGTTATAATTGTTTTGAATACAAATGTAAAAACATATGTAAGAACAAACACAACAAACCGGGTTTGTACTGGTCAGGGCATATGTCCTTGCATAAAGGATTATTGATACAGCCTCTAACAGCATCATAGCCTTGACCTTCAGGGCAGCAAACCGGATGTGGGGTAAAGTCTTCGCAATCCCAAAATGTAACGCAATTTCCATCATCAAAAAATTCTGTCTGGTTGCCTTTACCAACGCATGCGTCTGTATAGGGATAATAAAATATATGTTTGCACATGTATTTGTTATATTTAAAGAATTGTGTTCTGGAAAGATCACTACGAAATGCCATTAGTGAATAAGCGTTTAAAAGAGATTCAAACTCTTTTATCTCTGATCAAACATTTAGTAACTTTATAAAACTTGATATTAATGTGAAGAATTCATACGATTGGGTAAAATGGCTAACATTGTCTTCCGCTTATAGATAGAAATTACTTATAATATAAATATAGCTATTTACATGTAAATTTATCGTACATTTGTTTACGATTCATATAATAGCTAGAGAAGTGTAATGTTAAACTGTTAGTTCTTTTTTCACATATGTATAATTTTCCTCAATTTGGTGAGGCACTGACAGATTTTTAACTTATATGTTATTATATGTGTATTCAACCTTTAACCTGCCGACGGCAACCGATTCTTCTAATACCACCAGTGCCGATCAAACTCATGATCGCTATGCAGTTACTACGTATTTTCACATTTTGCCTAAAAATAATATATGGTTTTGATATAGAAGAACTATTCATTTAAGATATTTTGGAAATACCTTTTTTAATTGGGCATTTATCATGACACCTGCCAAGTAGATCTTGGACACACTCGTTCCTTTTGTTATCAAATCTGAAGCCATCTTTACAACATCTAGGTTTTGGTTTACCTGTAATTAAAAAGTAACAAATCATTGTAGCCTTACAATTACATCTTTTTAACTTAAGGTCAATCTATAGTTAGTGAAGATTCGTCCGCTATTTGAGGTATTATATATTTTATAAGAGACATCATCATGCTCTGAAAATTTTTTGAAGCCATGAATTAAAGTTATATTCATCCGGTCAAACTATTTTGTAGCAAGTGTGTTTATCGGGAGTTACATAATAACAGTAACAACCGGTTATTTTAAAGGAACTCCACAAAGTTTTTTTTGATATGATGCAAATGGTAATAATGTTTTGAGATTAATGTTCCATTTAATGTAGGTCTGGATGAATAACTTTTTTTGCAAAATTTGAGATCATTCTTCCAGACCCCCTATCAACCCGTAACTCGGTTTTAAGTTTCTCAATCAGCCCGTACCAACCCGTACTTTTGCTTAAAGGCTCCCTTTCAACCTGTACCTCAGTAAATGTCCCTCTATCAACCTGTACCACGTTAAAATGTCCCCATGTCAACCCATATCTCGGTTAAAATCCCCTTGTCAACCCGTACGACGGTAACAGTCCCCCTATTAGCCTGTACCTCGGTAAAGGTCCCCTATCAACCCGTACCTTGGTTTAAAGTCCCCTATAATCCGTTCCCCGGTGAAAGTCCCTTAGTATCCCCCAGTTCTGTTAAAAGTTTTCACTATCAACTATATATAACTTGGTTTCAGTTTCATCCCGTACCTCGGATAACTTAATCATCCCTCTATCAACCAATGCCACGATAAACCCCCCCTATCAACCCGAACCTCGATGAAAGTTCCCTTATCAACCCGTACCTCGGTACAAGTCACCCTTTCAAACCGTACCTTGGTTAAAGGTTCCCCTTTCAACCCGTATCTCGGTTAAAGTTCCCCTATCAACACGTACCTCGGTACGAGTCCCTTCATCAACCTGTACCACGGTAGAATTCCCTCTATCACCAGCCCGTACCACAGTTAAAAGTCCCACTATCAACCTTAACCACGGTAAAAGTCCCCCTATCAACCCGTACCTTGGTTAAAAGTCCCACTATCAATTCATTCCTCTGTAATATCTCCATATATCAACCCGTACCACGGTGAAAGTGCCCCTATCAACCCGTATCTCGGTTAAATGTCACCCTATCAACCCGTAACCATGAAAAAAACCCTTATCGAACCGTACCTCGATTAAATGTCCCCAATCAACCCGTACTACGGCAGAAGTCCCCCAATCAACCCGTACCTCGGTAAAAGTCCCTCTTTCAATCCGTACCCCAGTTTAAAGTCCCCCTATCCACCTGTACCACAGTAAAAGTTCCCTTTTCAACCCGTAGCACGGTAAAAGTCACCCTATCAACTTGTACCGTTGTTTAACGTCACCTATCTACACGCACCACGGTTAAAAGTCCTTCTATTTACCCATACCACGATAAAAGTCCCCCTATCAACCCGTCCCTCTGTAATATCTCAATCTATCAACCTGTACCGCGGTGAATGTTCCCCAATCAACCCGTTCTTCAGTAAAAGTCCCAGTATCACAACCCCGTATCTCGGTTAAATGTCCCTCTATCAAACCTGTACCTCAGTTAAATGTCCGTCTATCAATCCTGTACCTCAGTTAAATGTCGCTCTATCAAACCTGTACCCCGGTTAACAGTCCCTCTATCAAACTGTACCTCAGTTAAATGTTCCTCTATCAAACCTGTACCTCGGTTAAATGTCCCTCTACAAACTGTACCTCAATTAAATACCCCTCTATCAAACCTGTACCTCGTTTAAATGTCCCTCTGTCAAAACTGTACCTCAGTTAAATGTCCCTCTATCAAACCTGTACCTCAGTTAAATGCCCCTCTATCAAACCTGTACCTCAGTTAAATGTCCCTCTATCAAATCTGTACCTCGGTTAAATGTCCCTCTTTCAAACCTGTACATCGGTTAAATGTCCCTCTATCGAACATGTACCTCAGTTAAATGTCCCTCTATCAAACCTGTACCACAGTTAAATGTCCTATCAAACCTGTACCTCGGTTGAATGTCCCTCTTTCAAACCTGTACATCGGGTAAATGTCCCCCTATTAAACCTGTATCTCAGTTACATGTCCTTCTATCAAACCCGTACCTCAGTTAAATGTCCCTCTATCAAACCTGTACCTCAGTTATATGTCCCTCTATAAAACCTGTACCTCAGTTAAATGTCCCTCTATAAAACCTGTACCTCGGTTAAATGTCCTTCTATCAAACCGTACCTCAGTTAAATGTCCGTCTATTAACCCTGTACCTCAGTTAAGTGTTCCTCTATCAAACCTGTACCTCAGTTAAATGTCCCTCTATCAAACCTGTACCTCAGTTAAATGTCCTTCTATCAAACCGTACCTCGATAAAATGTCCCTCTATCAATCCTGTACCTCGGTTAAATGTCCCTCTATCAAACCTGTATCTCAGTTAAATGTCTTTCTTTCAAATCCGTACCTCAGTTAAATGTCTCTCTATAATACCTGTACCTCAGTTAAATGTCCCTCTATCAAACCTGTACATCAGTTAAGTGTCCCTCTATCAAAACTGTATCTCAGTTAAATGTCCTTCTTTCAAACCCGTACCTCAGTTAAATGTCCCTCTATAAAACCTGTACCTCAGTTAAATGTCCCTCTATCAAACCTGTACCTCAGTTAAATGTCCCTCTATCAAACCTGTACCTCAGTTAAATGTCTTTCTATCAAACCCGTACCTCGATAAAATGTCCCTCTATCAAACCTGTACCTCGGTTAAATGTTCCTCTATCAAACCTGTACCTCGGTTAAATGTCCCTCTATCAAACCTGTATCTCAGTTAAATGTCCTTCTATCAAACCCGTACCTCAGTTAAATGTCCCTCTATAAAACCTGTACCTCAGTTAAATGTCCCTCTATCAAACCTGTACCTCAGTTAAATGTCCCTCTATCAAACCTGTACCTCAGATAAATGTCCTTCTATCAAACCGTACCTCGATAAAATGTCCCTTTATAAAAACTGTACCTCAGTTAACTGTCCCTCTATTAAACCTGTACCTCGGTTAAATGTCCCTCTATCAACCGTACCTCGATAAAATGTCCCTCTATCAAAACTGTACCTCAGTTAACTGTCCCTCTATCAACCCTTACCACGGTTTAAAGTTCCATTTGATTGAAGCTGTTTCTTCATAAAAACATAGGCAATGTATTTATTTTAATTAAATAGAATGAAACAAGTACCGTCTATTCCACAATCCCAGTATGTTTTACAGTTCCCGTCAGGGTTGTCGTACTTTGCACCGCTGGCTAGACCGCCACAGTAATCTAAAATAGTTGTATACTAAATTCAATAGTGTTTCAAAAAAGAAATGAATGTAATACCGGTATACTGTATATTATTGGTAAAAGTGCCGATATTAATATAAATATGTATTAAATTATTTTGTACACTCGATAGTTAATATCATACCGTTCATGATTGTTTTATTGTTAAGAAAATAACCCGCACAACCAAGATTCATGATGATTTTTAAAAGATTGGAAAGAAGGGAAATGAGAAAGGGTTTTGCCGAGGATCTAACAGGGTCAACCGTAGCTTCATCGTCATTCTCCGGGGCTCTGCCGGCATCCTCCGGGGCTCTGGCATGATTTACCATGTCGCTGCCGGCATTCACCGGGGCTCTACCGTAGCTCTACCGGCTATATAATACCCCGGATCATCCCCAGTTTGTGCCGGCAGAGCTACAGTGCTTCCCCGGTGTAACCCCGGTCGTTCCCGGCAGAGCTAAGGATGATGCCGGTAAAACTATACTTCCCGGATCACCCCTTGATATTAAATATTATTCCATTCGGGGTCGAATGCCGGATGTTCCCTGGTCATCACAGACGTTGCCGGCAGAGTCACGGATGTAACCCGTACCCCGGTCATTCCCGGATCACCCCGGACGTCTTCCGGGGCTCTGTCGAAATGTAAGTGTGACTGCAGCTTGACCGTTGATGACAGTAAACATCACATAGACATTTCCAGTTTTACATTGGTTTGTAAAGAAACGGTTTGTACTAACTTGTCCAACAAACTTTCAATGTTTTTTGCTCATTACTTCAGATATAACCAATTTGTTTTATGTACACAATTGAAATTCTAAACAAAACCTGAAAAAACAAACAAGTATTGAATTGATAAACTACCTCTATTGCACACTACTTCTGTTGGAACATCACACGTAATTTTCTGTTGTAACTGAAGTCCAGCCCAATATGTCCCGAATGCGCATGGCTGTAGTGTAGCATGATAACTACTTCTCGTGTCCTGCTGACAATTTATAAAATTACGACAGTCTAATTCGTCGGCCAGGTAACAATGCTCAGTTTTACATTTCTCCGCGCAAACTAAAATCAAGATACAAGATAATGTTCGAGTTTAAACACAAAAATATTAATCATAATTATAATTTATAAATTGATCGTACGTAACATTATAAAATAAACTTTACAAACTGTACAAAACATGTTATATCACCTTATTATTATATCTAATTTATTTTAATTAACTGCAGTGCAACCTCCCTTCAACAGCCAACAGTCGGACAGTCCAAAACTGGCCTGGAACGTTTTTGTCACGGAAGAAACATTAATTATGTCATTGAAGTATGCAGGGTTGTAAAGACATAACAAATTGGGAAAACAGGACCTTTTCAAGTGGTTATCATCTGTATATAAACTACTTAACTTTAGCTTAGCACCATATGGTAATTTTTATATTTTATTATAGATTTCTTTCCAATTTTTGACAATTCTGATTCAGAAATGTTTTGAGATATTCACTGACATGAATCCGTGTTGACTAATCCGTTTCAACTCGTCTTGGTAGCATGGAAAGCATGCACCCTAATATTTATGTTTTTAATGCGGTGTACAATCACATGTCTTTTGTTAAACGACGACATTACCAGCTTATTGGCATTCAGCGGCATACATTTCTTACATCTATCACTTTGATATGGCAGATGCTAACATTAGGCGGCATTTGAGAGATACAGAGTTATGGAGGGCTGTAGGGATTGTGCAGCGGGAGGGCACCTTCCGCCAGGTTTGTGCGGCGCTTGGTGTACACCACACCGTCTTTACCAGAGCCTGGATGAGATAGCGGTACACCCGCCAGGGGCATGCTTGAGGTCAGCAAAGGGTCAGAACACCAGCTCAGGACCGGTTTTTGGTCGTTCAGACATGTCGTGCAAGGTTTTCGACAGCAACTTCCCTTCGAAATGTCCGGGGTCTGTGTTTCCACGCAGACGGTACGTAGAACGCTGCATGAAGGTAAAATGCAGACGAGAAGACCTTGCAGCGATATATAGTCGACATCTTAGACAACCAGGTCAGGCTGTATGCTGGAGCAGTAGGCGATCAGTTCATTCTAATGGTCGATAATGCTCGCCCCAATAGGGTCAGGGTGGTCCAGGACTACCTAGAAAGGGAGTCTATTGAGCGCATGGACTTGTCAGCTCGCTCACCTGATATAAATCCAATAGAAGACATGTGGAATGAGTTGCAGGTTATAATTTCAGCTCGTCAGCTGCAATCCAGAACCACCCAGGAGCTTGGAGCCATGTTGGTTCAAGAATGGGTAGCCATACCCGTTAGAACGACCAGAAACCAAACAAGAGCTGTCAGAAGGACAGCGCGCTCGACTTTTTTAGTGCTTGCCTATAAAACAAAACTTTGACAGTTAAGGGCACACAAGACTTTAACAAGGAATTTCTAAGTACAAATCAAGAAACATTTTCACAGAGTTATCTTCTCTTGCTTACAGATAGGTCTCATGATGGCACATAAGAACTCCAACTTCCAAAGTAATATCTCAAATGGTTAAGTCAACAAGTGGACAAGAATGAAAATCTTAACTGAGTTTCTAAGTCAAAAAGGGCCATAATTCAAATAAAATCCTTAACAGAATTACCTTCTCCTGCCCATGTTTTGGGACCATGATGGTAAACAAGTATTCCAACTTTCAAATTAATATCTCAAACAGTTCAGTCAAAAAGTGGACTGGTACTAAAAACTTAACCAAGATTCTAAGTCGATAAAAGGCCTTAATTTTTAAAACAAATCCTTGACAGAGTTACCTTCTCTTGCGTACAGATGGGGGTAATGATGTGAAATAGCATTAAAAGTTTCAAAGCAATATCTCAAAGGGTTAAGGCAATAAGTGGATTTTACCCATATTCAATGTATTTTCTAAGTCAAAAAGGGGCATAATTCTGTCAAAAACCTTGACAGAGTTATGTCCTCTTGTCTGTTGATGAAGGTCGTGATGGTAAACAAGTATGGTCAGTTTCAAAGCAATACCTCCAATGGTTTTGAAATAAAGTGAGGTGGTACAAAAAACTTAACCAAGCTCAATACACTTTCTAAGTCAAAAAAGGGCCATAATTCTGTCAAAAACCTTGACAGAGTTATGTACTCTTGTCTGTAGATGGAGGTTATGATGGTGAACAAGTATGGTAAGTTTCAAAGCCATACTTGTAATACTTCTGAAATAAAGTGGGGTGGTACGAAAAACTTAACCAAGGTGTGACGCCAACGCTAACGCCGACGCCGACGCCGACGCCGGGGCGAGTAGGATAGCTCCCCTTTTCATAGAAAAGTCGAGCTAAAAAGGGAGTATAAAAAGGCGCTGCCAAGCTTTCATTGATAGTAACGGGTCACATACACGGTATTAAGTCTTAAACTGTAAACAAAAAAGCAAACAATTTAACAAATTTGGAAAACACGCTGCATGTTTTGAAATTTCAATAAAAAGGGGTAATCCTCTTCTCTAGCACAAAATTGGTGTATAAATCATTTATAGGGATAAAGTCGTCCTTTAAACAGTAAATCAACATTTAAAACCTTTCGTTCGGCGTTAATAAAACTATCCCGAACAATATTCACACTCAAACATATATGGTGCTTAGCAAAGGTTGAATAGTATATGTATTCATAACCTAAAAAATTGTTGATGCTGTCGAAAAAAAGTTTGATCTTTTAAACCTTCATGATTTTATATTCATGCGGACTGGAATGAAATTTCTTGTTCAGTATCTATTAAATACAAAGTTGTATCATAGTTTGGGGAACTTTCTGTTGAAAATGTGTAAGAGTTAAATCGAATACATATACATGCACAGTGCGTTTACCGGAATGCATATATAGGCACCCGCACTCCAGAGCATGCCCATTGATTGGCTCATTTTTGCTGGCGTTTACTTATTGTGACGGCAGAGAAAGGGAAAGCGACAGAAATATCATATTCAGATGTTATTTCATTGGTTACTTTTTTCTGGGGTTTCATATTATGACAACAGGGAACGTGTTTTATGTTTGACTATGATACAAAAGAGAAAGAATATCAAAACACTCGGCAATCTGATTAATACTAGGGGGCTACGCCCCCTCGTACAAATCAGATAACCTCGTGTTACGATGCTCTTTCTATTACATAACATACATGTGGGGGAGAATCCGATACGGTTAAACCAGTCAAAAAGTTTGGAGGTCGTTCGAATGGTATTTATATATTTTGTCAGGAAAAATAAGTCGTTATTGGTGGGAGTTGAGAGTTGGCCGTTGATGAAAGTTATGATGGGGAATTAAAACTGGCTGTTGTAAGGAGTTGGCTGTTGTCGAGAGGTGACCGTAAGGGGAGGTTGCACAGTATATAAGTATTTATGTTTAATGAATATTCTAACCATAACCAAAAATAAAGTTTTATTGTTGTGACACTTACGTCGATTCAAACGTCTTTGCTCTATAGACGCTAGGCCTGGAGACAGAACTGTAAAAGAGTAAACATTAAAACTTGTTTTAACTTTATCCTATTAACAAAATATAATATAAAATATATCATAATTGTTGGTAATTACAGAGATATATAAATAGTCATATCTATCAAAATGTTATCGTCTGCTATACGATTTTTAATATATCAACAATAAGACAATTAAAATGCAAGGAGTGGCATTTACGAATTTAAAATGATTTTAATTGATCCAAAATGTTTAAAAAATGAACGTTTTTTTACGTAAAATCTTTGATACTTGGATAATGTCGAAATCGAACTATTCAGTAAATACATGTATTGTAGGGATAATGTACCTGTACCATTGCGGTCACGTCGGCCGAAACCAACTGGACCTGTCCCCATAGCACGGTCAACCATTCCCGTACCGCGGTCAATTTTTCCTGTACCACGGTCAACAATTCCTGTACCGCGGTCAATTTTTCCTGTACCACGGTCAACCATTCCTGTACCGCGGTCAATTTTTCCTGTACCACGGTCAACCATTCCTGTACCACGGTCAACCATTCCTGTACCGCGGTCAATTTTTCCTGTTCCACGGTCAACCATTCCGGTACCACGGTCTTCAAATCTAAATCCCCTGTCCCATTTTTTAGGGAAGGTGTCTCCGGTCACTCTTCCAGTTTCTGCTCGAGTAGTGAAGTTTGTCATTGCTTGAGTAGTGAAGTTTGTCATTGCTTGAGTAGTGAAGTTTGTCATTGCTTGAAAAGTGAAGTTTGTCATAGAAGGTGGACTCGTGACATTTGACCCACCAGTCATTATTGCATCAAGTATACTGCCTAAAATCAGATCAAAGATCATATATTGGTTTAAACATATTTTAATTCAAGGTAATATATACATGTTAATAATTTACAATTTAAGCAGAAAGGAATTGGACCGAGAGCTACAATAACTCATGGTAGTCCTCTCCTTTAACAAAAGCAATACGTACAAATAATGCATAGCTTATTATGAATTATACCCTATAAAGAGAGAGAAAAAAAATACAAGTATGTATGCAACTGATAGAAAATTATAAATACAATGTAGAAAGGAATTTGTGGATGTATCTATATAAAATAAATTAATTCATTTACAATTGTTTTTGTAAGAACTTCATGTAAGAAAAATGGAAGTTTCATACATTGTATCTGTGAACACTATGTTGTAACTAGTATCTTACATTTAGAATCTTATAGTATCTTTTAGCGGCGAGAATAGAAGTGTTGGAATCCGCAGGTAAAGTATGGTCTTCATAAAGAATAACATGCAATGTTGGAGTGCAAAAAATGGAAAGAGTGTTTAGTAGATTGAGACGTAGATGAACATATTTTGGACAAACAAGAGCCGGTTGAACCGGGTGATGCTCCCCGAACAGGTTTTGGACACAGGAAGGTATACCTCTTGTAGTGTTGTCAGAGTTATGTCACAGACAAAGTTCAAAGTGTAAAAATAACCCAAATGTTGTGCACGACACATTGTCTCAATATGGTGATCGTTTTTGTGAAATTGTTGTAAAATCCAACTTCAAATAACAAAGTTAAGGGCCGGACATGATTTTGCTGCAAGGTCATGCTGTGACCTTGACCTTCAAGGTAGCAACCCAAATGGTGCGCTCGACACTTCGTCTCAATATGGTGATCATTTCTGTGAAAAAGTTTTATAATCCGACTTCAAATAACAAAGTTATGGGCCGGACACACTTTTGCTGCAAGGTCATGCTGTGACCTTGACCTTCAAGGTAGCAACCCAAATGCTACGCGCGACATGTCGTCTTAATATGGTGATCATTTCTGTGAAATATTTTTAAAATCCGACTTCAAATAATGAAATTATGGACCGGACACAATTTTGATGCAAGGTCATGCTGTGACCTTGACCTTCAAGGTAGCGAGGCAAATGTTGCGCACGACACGTCGTATCAATAAGGTGATCATTTCTGTGAAAAAGTTTTAAAATCCGACTTCAAATAACAAAGTTATGGGCCGGACACGATTTCGCTGCAAGGTCATGCTGTGACCTTGACCTTCAAGGTAGCGACCCAAATGTTGCGCGCGATACGTCGTCTTAATATGGTGATCATTTCTGTGAAATATTTTTAAAATCCGACTTCAAATAATGAAGTTATAGACCGGTCAAGGTAGCGAGCCAAATGTTGCACGCGACACGTCGTCTCAATATGGTTATCATTTCTGTGAAATAGTTTTAAAATCCGACTTCAAATAACAAAGTTATGGGCCGGACACGAATTCGGGACGTACGTACGGACGGACTGACGGACGGACGGACAACCCGACGACTATATGCTCCCCCGAAATTTTTCGGGGAGCATAATAAAGAAGGAAATGATAGGCATTTTCAAGATCATTCATGTAGATAATTTCACTTTGCACATGGAATCAAGAGAAACTTGAAGGTTTTTTTTTTGGTCACAAAAACTTACATCTCATAAAAAAGGAATGGTACTGCACTGATCACTCTGTGAATTTTGGTCAAAATCCCGCCAACAGTTTGACATTTGACAGCCTATGTATAGCTCTTACGGCCATTTTGTGAAGCGAAGTGGAACATGCCGTCTATATACACAACTTAGGGATGATACTGATCACTCCCTTCCGACTTCCGTTCGCGGCGTGCACGTCGCTCGGAAGGCATAGGTCACACCAGATGGGTGACCTAGTTAGGTCACTTAGCTGGTGTGACATTACCAACGGCGAAGGGTCTACGACGAACGACAGCATGAGAAGACCTCCGTCGCGGCTCTACGATCGACGACGTTGCAAGCGAATTAAGTCCTCCGTTGCAGGCTCTACGATCAGCAATCGTAACAGAGGCCGATAATCTGAGACATATAGGAAACCGGCGCCCAGTATAAATAAAACTAAAACAACAACATCAACTGATCACTCCTGTGAAGTTTCATTGAAATGCCACCAGCAGTTTGACCTGTGAAAGCCGGACACGACTTTTCTATTTATAGCTCTGGTGGCCTTTTGTGCAGCGGAACGGAACGTTTGAGCGATGTGCCCAACTAAGGATGGTAACAATCACTTTTATGAAGTTTCATAGAATCCCACAGCAGTGACCCCACGAACCATACAATTTTTTCTATTTGCTCTGTGCAATGGCAGCCAACGGAAACTGACCCGCAACATGCACACAAGGATGGTATATAACTCTGTAAAATTTCATTGAAATCCGGACAGCAGTTTGACCTGTGAAAGCCGGACAATATTTTTATATTTAAAGCTCTGGTGGCCAATTTGTGCAGCAAAGCGGAACATGACGGCGATATGCATAAATAGGGATGGCACTGATCACTCCTGTGAAGTGTCATTGAAATCCAGCAAGCAGTTTGACCTGTGAAAGCCGGACAAGATTTTTATAATTAAAGCTCTGGTAGCCATTTTTTGCAGCAAAGCGAAATGGTCATGATCACTCCTATGAAGTTTCATTGAAATCCCGCCAGCAGTAACTGTTAGACCTGTGAAATCCGGACAAGATTTTTCTATTCATAGCTCTGGTGACCATCTTGTGCACCCAAACATGCTTGGCGATATGCACAAAATAGGGATGGTACTGATCACTCCTGTGAAGTTCCATTGGAATCCGGCCAGCACTCTGACCTGTGAAAGCCGAACACGCTGAATGCGGGACGACCGACGGACGGACGGACAGACAGACAGACAGACGACAGATGGCGAAGGCAAAGCCAATATGTTCTCCTCAAAAATGAGGAAAACATAATTAAAAATATGCTGTAAAAAGACATATCGCAGAGATATTATATACCTGTATCATTGCGGTCACGACGGCCAAAAACAACTGGATCTGTAATCATTCCTGTTACTACGGTTTTCAAATGTAAATCCCCCTCCCCTTCTCTAGGGAAGGTGACTCCGCCACTGTTCCCAGTTTCTGCTCGAGTAGTGAAGTTTTTCATAGGTGGACCCGTGACATTTGACCACCAGTCATAGTTCATCAAGTATAGTGGCCCACTGCCTTAAATGAGAAACAAGATCATATATTAATTCATAAAGATATTTGACTTTGCACATGATATCAACAGAAATTAAATATAGTAATTTTATATTATATTAAGTATTGATTAAAAACCACTGCAGTGAATAAAAAATAATTCAATCTTCATAAAATTTCACAACAAGTCCTAACAACAAGTAGTTCTCAAGCAGCTTAAAACTAGCGATGTAAAAGAAAGGAAAATGTTTTTATTTTTCTACAATATCCAACAATTTACATTGCATTCCCAAAATTTAAAAGTACGTTGCTTATAGAATTGTCAATAAATGCACAATCACAAATTACGCGGGTTTTAATCATATAAAAATGCCCTTTAGCCAATGTCAATTACCGAATACTTTAGAGCGTAATAAACAAATAAATCTGACTGTCGAGTAGTGGAAATATATACATGTCGGACTGTTTTGGCGAGAAAGATTTTTGCTAATATTATTTAAATTCAGTGTTAAACAAACAGGTTTATCGTGAAAATAATAAAGATTACAAAACCCGAAATGGAAATTCAAATTAGGAATTATTTGATTTATTCAGCTTTCTTCAATATAACTTACCCGTGGTGCAGCGGTAATGCTCGTTTAGGGGTGTGAGAGGCTGGCGTTTCAAATCCCAGTCGAGGACTATCTATTTTTAAGTGTCTTTTAAAAGAAAGTAGCCACGATATGCAAGGATAAGTGAGCTATTCTATAAAAAAATGAACATAAATGATTTTTGATGCATCTCCAGTCATGCAAACTCCGTTATATATCACACTCAAACTTTATAGCTAAAAAATCTAAAACGCATCACTTCATCTCGTGCCCTGTAAGATGACTTATTAGTATATAAAAAAAACCTATACGAATATAAAACTAAGTAACAAACCATTTGTTTTCTGTGAATGGATGGAAAGGGCGTAATGTTTATCGAACATATAATACACGATTATAGAAAAAACAATTATTATAGCTTTAACGAAAATCCAAAACCTTTATGTTCATAGCCAAATCAACTTTTTAAACTATCATCAACTCAAAAATGCATACCAACAGAATGAAAAAAAAAAAAACTAAAATCTGAAGATACAATACAAAGCTAATAAACTACTTAATTGATAAATTAAAACCGCAAATTAAAACCTTCCGATTTATTTATACTAGCATTATTCAAAAGAAATAACAACAAAACAAAAACAATCATCAAGAAAACAAAGGGAAGCTGAACTCTCAGGTAATCTTTGAATTGAAAAAATATATTCCATCAAAATAATAAACATAACGATTGATACCAGACTTTCGAAGTTTTCAGTATAAATATCTTATGCATTATTTGCCACATCAATTGAAAAACTCTTTAAATATAATATGGTGAGTCAATGTTATGCGATTTTTGCAAACTCCTGCACCAGAATCTAATGTACATTTATATTGGAATGCTCAAAAAATCAACCAGTTTTGTCGTTAAATCAGGATTTTTTTAAAAACAAAATATTCTACAGACCCCAAAATTTGTATTCATACGAAACTGTCAGTTTGTGTAATGTGAATATTCAAAATAATATGAAATCAAATTGCATTAACTATATTTTACTCATAGGTAAATATTTTTAATTTTAAAAAAAAATACCAGAAAAAACCGTACCAAACTTCAGTGAATTTTTTTAAATTATCTCTATATATAAACTTTAGTTTAGAAAGACTCATTGTTGAAATGAAAAAATAAGGTCGATGTCCATAACAACAATGAGTATTACATCAGCATATTGCGGACATCACTAAAACATATAGCACAACAATTACGTTAGACTAGAGAGGGTCTAGATAGGCATTGAACTGATCTACTAATATATTTACACGCTTACTATGAAACGCTTCTTTTTTATTAATGAAAACATAACGATAAGTAATTAAAATTACATATATCATGCTCTAGATTACTTTTCCATTTTTTACAATCATGTAAATCAGTTTAAATTTACTTAGTCTTTATTAAAGTTTTTTTTTCTGATATAACCATTGTTTATTCTTGCAAATGAAAAAAATTTGTAATATTTTGTAAGTTTGTATAATGTATGAAATGTATTGTTTGTACGAACTTGGATAATAAAAATTAATAAAAAAACTATACAGGAAAATACATACAGATTATACAGTACGATTTAGATTGCAGCCCTTTGATATATATACCTGGGTCCATCATAAGTCCGCGCTTTTAATATCTGGGAGATGTGATCACCAGTCCGACTAAAATCACCAATGCCTGCCATTCTGTTACTTTAAATCTGGAATTGAAAAAGAAAATAAAGTTTTGATGCGCATTATGCAAAGGAGTTGTAGATAGAACTATGAATTCTAGTCAGAATTATGCAACGGAACAAAAAAAAAAAAAAAAAAAAAAAAAACAACAAAAAAAAACAAAAAAAAAAACAATCAAAAACATGTTCTAAACAAAGAATAATCATCACTGGCCTATAGCTTGCATAATTTTCATATCTTACCCAGTCTTCATTACTTAAAATATCTACGTTCTCAACACTTTTTACAAAAAAATAATACCTTCCCCTGTCCTTGTTTTATTCCATATCCTCGTATTTTACTCTGTCCTCATTACATACACTGTCCTTGTCCATTACCATGTCCTCACTACTTACAATACCTTCATATCATACCCTCTTCAATAAATGACGCACTACTTCATACCTTACCCGACCTCGTTACTAACACTATCCATATACCTTACCCTGTCCTCGTTACAACACTATCCGTACACCTGCTACTGTTCCTCGCTACTAACACTATCCGTATTTTCTTATCCTGTCCTCTTACTAACGCTATCCGTACACCTTTTACTGGCCTCGTTACTAACACTCTCCGTATACCTCATCCTGTCCTTGTACTAAAACACTATTTTAAAACCTTATCCTGTCCTCGTTACTAACACTCCGTATTCCTTATCCTGTCCTCGTACTAACACTATCCGTATACCTTACCCTATCCTCAGTTAGTAACACTATCCGTTTACCTTATTCCATCCTCAATTTCTTACACTACCCGTATTCCTTATCATGTCCTCGTTACTAAAATTATCCGTATACCTTATCCTGTCCTCGTACTAACACCCTCCGTATTACATTTACCCTGTCCTCGTTACTAACACTATCCTTAAAACTTTATCCTTTCCTTGGTTAACAAACAATATCCGTATACCTTATCTGTCCTCAGTTACTTAAACACTATTCTAGTACCTTACCCTGTCCTCGTTATTTTAACAGTATCCGTATACCTTATCCTGTCCTTTAAACTAACACTATCCGTACACTTATCATGTCTTGTCGTTACTAAACACTATTACGTTTTACCTTATCCTGTCCACGTTACTAACACTATCCATATACCTAATCATGTCCTCGTTACTAACTACGATCAGATACCTTACCCTTTCCACGTAACTAACACTATCCTATTACCAAATCCTATCCTCGTTACTAACACTATCCGTAAACCTTACCCTTTTCCACCGTTACTAAAACTCTCAGTATACTTAACCCTGTCCCTAACTTACTAACACTTATTAGTATACTTTACCTGTCCTCTTACTAACACTATCCGTTATACCTTATCCTGTCCTCTGACTAACACCATCCGTATAACATTACCTGTCCTCGTTCTAACACTTTCCTAACTTTATCCTTTCCTTTTTACTAACAATACCGTTTTACCCTTATCCTGTCCTCGTTACTTAAAACACTATTCTTAGTACCCTTACCCTGTCCTCGTTATTAACAGTTCCGTATACCTTATCCTGTCCTCTTAACTAACACTATCCGTTACATCCTGTCATGTCTTCGTTCTAACACTATACGTATACCCCTACCCTGTCCACTTTTACTAACACTATCCATATATCTTATCGTGTCCTCGTTACTAACACGATCAGTATGCTTTTACCCTGTCCACGTAACTTAACACTATCCTATACCAAATCCTGTCCTCGTTACTAAGACTATCCATATACTTTATCTTGTCCACGTTACTCAAAAACTTTCAGTATACTTTAACCCTTACCTCATTAGTAACACTATCAGTATACTTTACCCTGTCCTTGTTACTAACTATATCTGTATACTTACCCTGTCCACGTTACTAACACTATCTTATACCTTATCATTTCCGTTACTAAACACTATGCCCTATACCTTTCACCTGCCCTTTTCTTAACACTATCCGTTACCCCTACTCTGCCCACGTTACTAACACTATCAGTAAACTTTATCCTACCCACGTTACTGATACTATCCGTATACTTTACCTTGTCCTCGTTACTAACATCATCCGTATACTTTACACTGGCCTCGCTACTAACACTATCTGTATACCTTATCCTGTCCTCGTTACTTACATTATCAGTATACTTTACCCTGTCCACGTTACTAACATTATCCGTATACTTTACACTGGCGACGTTACTTACACTTTCCGTATACGTTTTCCTGGCCACGTTACTATCCTTAAAGCTTTTCCTGTTCTCGTTACTAATACTATCAGTATACTTAACCCTGCCCTCGTAACTTACACTATCAGTATTATTTACCCTGTCCACGTTATTAACACTTCCCGTATACATTACCCTATCCTCGTTAGTAACGCTATCCGTTTACCTTATCCTGTCCTCGTTACTTACACTACCCATATACCTTATCTTGTCCATGTTACTAGCACTATCCATATACTTTATCCTGTCCTCGTTACTAACACTATTCTTATACTTTTCCCAGTCATCGTTACTAACACTTTTCTTATACATTTCCCTGTCCTCGTTACTCATACACTTTTCATACTTTACCTTGTATTCTGTATTATTTTTTTCGTTTTTTTAAATG